CACTCAAGGATCTCACTGACAAATAAAATGGTAAAACATCTGAAGTGTACGTTGTGATGATCTGATGTCTCAAGAAAACTGAAAAAATATCTATCGACAGCCCCGCTCCCCAAATTAACTCTCAAAGTCCACCTGTCGATAAAGGAAACCCTGTGCTCTGTGCACATCCTCGTCCTGTCTCACGGATGTCCTGCCAGCTCCAGGTTGTGTGGAAGGCTGCGCCCCAGCAAAGGTCCTGTGGCAGCAAACCCTTTACCATCGGCACATTTCTGCTTTAAAGGCATCACCTAGCAACAGCCCTGGGTCCCTCTCTTTGAATTCCCTGACGGATTTTAGATTGCGGTGCGGACGTGAAGAGCGGCCGTTCAGAGGGGCGTCCTGCCCTGTCTCTAAGAGATGGGTTCTACTTAGAACAACCCAGGTCACAAAGCTCTGCTTAACGTGTCTTAACAAGCACAGCAAATGGCTAACTTCAGCTGATGTAAACAGACTCCTGCAATTTTCTTGACTTCAGGAACATATTACTTTTGTGTTCAGGATGTAGAAAAATTAAAGTCCTGGGCCAAAAACACAAAGGAAATGAGATGTCGTGACTGCACGTGGTTTCCGGCCAGCGTGCCGTCTGGGTGACAGGCAAGCACGGGGGTTACCACCAAACTCTGTGCTCTTCCTAACTCAGTCTTCTGAAACCACCGCTGCTTTTGTTCATGTCTGCATCTGTACCCATCAAGTGAGTTTATGATGTAATATAAAGTATAAAAATTCATGTCTAGACCTGTCAAAAATTTTTAATTTTGTTGGCTATTAGCACTGCTGGACCTAGAGGGAGCGATTCTAGCATTTTCACCGAGTACGTGTGGAAGGTGTTTGGATTTATTACGAACTTCTCCTGTGACAACACGCCAGGGCCTCATGCAAGTGGCTTCAACTTTCTGGAACGCTGATTGCTGGTCCGCCACTGTGAAGATGTCCCCCCCAGACTCCTGGGTCCCTTTCACAGCAAAGGGAATGACATTTGCTTACTAGCCAGCCTTGAGATGGGAGAGCATCCTGAATTATCTGCTGGGCCCAGTGCAATCACAAGAACCCTCAGAAGAGTAAGAGAGGGCGGAAAAGGAGGTCGGAGCGACTGGATGTGACTCGATGTTGTTGCTGGCTTTGCAGAGGGAGGGAGGGAGGGAGGGGACCCCAGCCCAGGGATGCCGGTGGCCTCGGGAAGCCGGAAAAAGCAGGACAGGATTCTCCCCTGGGGCCTCCAGCAAGGAACGCAGCCTGTGGACACCTTGCTTTTCACCGGGGGCGCCCTGTGCTGGATCTCCGACCTGCAGCCCTGTAAGAGGACACTGTCCTATTGGGTGAGGCTGCCTGGTTGGTGGCACTTTGTGAGGGCAGCCCTGGGAATCTGCTGTGATGAAGTTGCACAAACTGGGTGGTTTAAAACAGGGGCAGTTTCTTCTCTCACTGTTCTGAAACGAGGGCATCCGCAGGGCTGGGCTCTCGGAGGGGTCCGGGCAGCAGCGTGCCTGCCTCCCCCGCTCCTGGGGTGGCCGGGAGATCTTGGCTTGTGGACGCATCACTCTCACCTGTGCTCCGTTGTCACTCGCTGCTCTCCCTGTACCTGTGTGTCAAATTTCCCTCTCCTTTAAGGACACCAGTCACAGAATTTAGGCCCACCCCAATTCATATGACCTTCTTCTTAACTTGATTCCATCTGCAAAGGTCCTATTTCCTAATGAGGTCCCACTGGCAGGTTCCAGGTGGACATGAATTTGGGGGAACCCCCCTCAACCCAGTACAGCAGCCACCTGTTTCCCTCAGGACAGATCCTGAGAGGTGGCAGTACTCCAAGGAGCGCCTGCCCCCACGCCTCATGGCTCTGGTCTGGCTGGCCCGCCTGGCAGTGTTAGAGTTGTGGTGGGCATGCAGCTTCTTAGCTAAGCTCCCTTTTCTTCTCGTTTCCCCCCGAGTTTGTGGTCCCCTGCATTTCTGCCTTGGGCTTTCGCTAACATGGGGAGGGCACGGAGAATGGTGTCCCCCACATTCAGGAGCCCTTCTTGGCAGGTCTGGGCTCCCATTGTGTGGGAGGGGCCTTTTCTCCTCTCTGCTCACTCATCGGACCCCGGCCCAGCCCATATCGGGCAGTGAGAGGAGAATGCCACCCTGGGAATCCACACTTGCCCACAACCACAATATTCAATTTATACAGATGCTGGAATTTTGTAAAGCTCACTTTTTATTTCTCCATTCTTAAAAAAAACAAGAGCGTAAAGGCCTCCTTTGCCCCACATGCCCCCGCCTTCTCCAGTGCCCTTTTGGGTCAGGTTAGCGGTGTCTGTACAGACGCCCTGTCTTCTTCTCTCAGCCGTCTGCACTCTCCAGTCGCACTCACCGCCCCTCCAAAGTGGTTCCCACGTCACGTCATCTTGCTCAGCAGGAGCTCGGGGCAGCTCTGGTCTCTCTCTCCTTCTGGAAAGGCACCTTCACTCCTCATCTCCCCCGGGAACATGTGGTGGCTGGGGTCAGATCCCCGCTTTACCGACGCTGGCGGCCCCACAAACTCAGCATCCAGCATCGGCTGGCCACAGAGGACTCCAGCCTTGTCTGCAGCCCACGCCACACGTCAGCAGTCAAGTGGAAAGCCTTCAAGCCTGCGGGGAGGACTCCAGATGCGGCTCCCTGGGCGACATCACTGATTAATGACGGGGAGGCTCCACAGGAGGATTAGGATATTGATTGATCTTTAAAAACAACTAATGACTGCAGCTCTGACGGGGCATCAGCGAAGTTAGGGACGGATACGGAGAAGATGCAAGCGCAAGATCCTGAGGAGCTTCCCCTCCACCACGGGGGTCCTACAGGTCAAGGGGCTGACTGCGTTTCTCCAGAAAGCCAGGCCATCTGCCGCCACCTCTGCTCCATACCTGACCTGTTTTACGGGTCCTGAAGCCACTGGAAAGTCAGCATGGCCCACAGGGGAGGAGAGAATGCACTTCCTGTCCTGTCTTTCCCACCTCGGAGCCGGTGACTCAGGTCAACTCACTCACCGTCCAGGTTTGCTCTCCATCAGGGGGGCGCTGCTCTCCCGAGGCTGGTTTGGAGGGTTGGGAAGTCAGTCCGATGGATGGGTCCATCTGGCTCTGTGCTGGGCTCCCTTCCAAGGAGCATTGTCTTCTAGCCAGTTTGGAAATCAGCGAATGCTGATTTCTCATATCGTTATGCAGCCCTGCATCACACGCCTTTTTACCCTTGGCTTTCTGTTTTGTACTTTTCACTTATTTAATATGTTCTAGTTCAACAAAGCACTTTTTATGTATTATTCCCTCCAAAAGGCCATTTCCAAATGAGCAAGGTGTTACAGTGAACATTTAAAAACATCTACTCAAATGACTTCATTCTACTTGAAAATGCCCATAAAATATTTGGCCTGTTCCAATAACGGTGAATCACTTACTGGTCCCCAGTAGTTCCAGGTTATTACAGCACTTCACTCTTCTCTAATGTGATTTGATTTTCAGAGGATGGAACTGTTTTGCACCAGGTGGAACAATTTGCTAATATTGAAGCTCATCCGTTTTTTATTACCTAGAATTGAGGTGACCAGCGTTTCATATGGGCCCGATGTAACTCCGAAAGGACTTGCTTTTTGAAACCTCGCAGCATTATATCCATGTGCTGTGCTGTCCCTCGCCACCGGGAAGAGGCCACCTGGACCTCTGGGTATGAAGGGAGCAAGATGCTCCCACGGCCGCTCAGAAGTGGAACCCTCTGGCAGGTTAAAGCAGGATGCGTGGACAGCCGCCCTCGAATGTCACTGACACAGGCTGGACAGGTCCCTGCTTGAAACCACAAGGGTCATGGGCTCCTGTGAAAAGGCTATCTTAGTAAAAACCTTCTCTGCTAATCCACCCATGATACGGTGGAGAAACGAGGGCTCCATCCCGTCCACTGTCCCGGAGGCACAGCAGGACGAGCATCTCCTAGCAGAGTACGCTCACCTTTGTCTCATGAGGCCGACACAGCAGGTCACAAGGTGCAGCCCCCAGGGTAGGCACACTCTCTTCACAAGTCTCCCAAGGCACGCTGCCTTTGTGTATTTACTTATTTGGTTACTGTTTAGTGCCACAGGGTGAACCTGGTCACCCACTGTCTGAATTGAGGTGAAAATTAAAACGCCGTTACTCTGACTGCTCGGTTAGCCCTTCTACTAACTATCTGGAGGTTTCCCTTCACCACACCGAGGGCGCATCCAGCTCGGGCCCTGGACTGAGTCCATGGGCAGCCCCGCTACCAGCCCTGAGGCTCAGGCGGACTCCCATGTGAGGTCCTGGAGGCTGGGCAAGGATCTGGTCCTCTGTCTCCTGCCTCCATGTGCCCAGGGCGTCATCACCATGTGACAGGGAAGGCCGGGCTGATGAGCCCTCACGGCTCACTTTCCTCCCTTTCATGGCTGACTCCTTACAGTGAAAATGCATTTTCGACAGGACGGGGTAACAGTTTTCAACACGCAATGTATCCTGAAGACAAGCGCTGGACCTCAGGAGGACGTCTCCAAGAGTGGCGCTTTCAACGCCCCCGTTAACCCACCTCACCCGGCGGCCCCGCTGAGAACCGCTGCTGCCCCGAGTCGCATCTTCACTCTGTCCTCACCCCGCCAGTCAAGATTCCCTGCTATTTTTCTATGCTTTGTATTACAAAAAAAAAAAAGTGGGGTTTTTGTGTCTATTTTTTGTATTCTTCAAATATAAAACTCTATTTTAATATGGAGCAGGCTTAAGAATCACCGTGTTGGACAGTCAGAGCTGGGTCAAGAACAGGTGTTTGCCCTGACAGGTCGTCAGCTCCCGGCTCAGGAAGCTCCAGCTTCACGACGACAGCTCGTGTATCTCGTGGATCCTTGCAAATGCCAAACAAACAATGACTGCGGACAAACCATTCGAAGAATCGGCTAACGGATCTCAAATTTGAGGTGCTTTTTAAAATAGTTAGACCAAAAGCACAGCGACACATAGAGAATCGTTTATTTAACAAACGCGAACCCCCACATACATGTAAAATAAGGAAACAGAAGTCAGAGGCCGTCCAACAGTCCAAGTTCACGTTGTACACTTGCAGTTACCTTTAACTGCACTAAACCTGTTCAGAGGAACACTGTCCTCTCGTCCCCCAGGAGCGGTCTTCAGTCTCGGTGGTGCCCAGAATGAAACGATACACGACGACTGGGCGGGAGAGGGGCAAACACTCCCATAAGCTGTGTGTGGCTTCAGCCAGGACACATGGTTTTAATATTTCTTGTTACATGTTCTCACTTGAGGAAAAAAAGCAATGTCAATAGTTTCAAAAAATAAGTATTGTTTGAAGCAGCAGATACAATATATTCACTACGGCCTGTACCAAAGAACCTAGCAATGGCAAGATTCGCGGCTTAAGAGAGAAACCACCAAGTGGACCTTTATAGAACATCTTTACAGCCTCTGACCACACTTTGACCTCTTAAAAATCCTCCCTTTCCTCAACATAAGTAGTTGTTTATTAATCAAAAGGAAAAAAGTGAGATCATACGGTGTGTGGGAAGGAAATGAACATATTTGTTTAAAACACTGGGATCCAGCCGACCGAAGTGCAGTCTCCCAAGACTGCCATCTCCCTCTAGGTTCTGCCGGGACGCCAGCGGCAGGATGAGCAGAGATCTTCCGTCCGTCTGCACCGCTGCGCCAGGAGGGCCCAGCAGACGGGGCACGAGTCCCAGCGAGGCACTGCCCAGCTCATCGGCGGAAGAAAAGCAGAAACCAAGCCAGCCGCCGTGCAGGTTTTCAGAAAGCCCGACATTTATGGCCACTCCCAGTCCGGCCTGCTCTCAGTGCCCTGCCGGCCAGGAACCTCCCTGTGTGTCACCGTCTAAGACCAGACTGCACCTCCAGCGTCAGGTCCTCCTGCTGGCAGGTGGCCCGTTTGCTCTGGACCGCTGGTGGTCGTACCTCACAGAAATGATAAGGAAAAGCAGGAGAGTAGCTCCTTGAATGGCAGCCAGAAGGAAGAAGTAATAGTTCAAATAGCAGCCATTAATGTTACCTGGAGGAACAAAGGAAAAAGAGGTCTGTGAGCTGAACTTAGAGATTTTACAAGATTTTAGCTATTTAATTTGGTTCCTACTAAGGTCAGAATGAATTCTAACTGTGGTCATTAGAAAAAAAACTCATCTCTGTTAACTGAAGCTGCACAAGCATCTCGTGTCCAGTCGCTACACGAGCCACTCGCAGCTGGACCCCAACACGGGCCGTGGACCCGCACGCTGACACAAGCCGGCCGTGCCTCTACCCCCCAGCTCTCTCCTGGGAGACAACGGGTGAGGCTCCCCAGCCGTGACAAGGCAAGGCGGAACAGAACCACCACACGCTTGGGACACCTCCGAGTGGGGTCAGAGCCGCATCTGAGAAGGTGGATGAGATGAGCGTCCACGCAAGGCGAGAGCCTGCACGTCAACAGTGGAAAAACTGGCCACAAGAGAAAGAACGGTAAGTCAGTGTCTTTCCATTTAAATTTTTTTCCCATACAGAAAACGTGGGGAAAGTAAAAAACCCACCCTCCCGTGTTCTCGCCACCAGAAGCAAACATCTGGCAGATAAGGAGTATTGCCGTCCAGTCTGTCTTCATGAGTGTTCCCCCTCACGTTAAGGAAATTTCCTACGGTTAGTCATGCCATGTACTCAGAGCTGATGTTGCCGAGGAGGAGGGTGAGGACAAGGAGCACCCGACGGTGCCCTCGGCAGATCCCAAGTGCCATTCTTCCTAACGTGGGCAAAGCACGTGGTCACCGAGCAGCACAGACAGCACCAGAGCACCGCCTGCATGTCACGCCCGCTCCTGAGTCCCCATCTACTGCGCAGTTCACTGACACTGCACGACACACGCCAACGGACCCCCACACACCAGGGCAGGGGGCTCAACTGACATTCCACATCTACAGGAAGTCACAAGCTTGTTTCTCAATTTTTCCTAAAAATCTTTAAGTTTAGCACCCTCAAGGTGACGCAGGTGCCTACTTTAGTCTTAACTGCTGACACACAGAGTGCTCAGCTCTGCCCCAGGCACCACACGCCCTCTGCCCGAGCGTGCACGCCAGTGTTCCACGTGGGTCCCAATAACCCTGGGGTGGCTGAAGCGGTAACAGTCGCGGACCGTGGGCTCAACCAATTAGGTTCAAACACAAGTGCCTTGGTGTCTCCAGGTTCAGTTCGTCCTCTGTGAAATGGGGAAACACAGCACCTGCCAGACACAGACAGACTTACAGGGTAACTGTGCAGGTAAGGTCCAGACAGTCCCTGGGACACAACGAGGTGTCCTCAGGGCCAGCCATCATTACGATCCCACCTTACACACAGGCCCAGGGCGTCAGGTCCATAAACTGATGGTCTTTCGGTGGAAAATCAAGTTTTCAAGGTGCCACCTACCAGGACCACTCAACACGGAGGCGGAGCAAGGACGCGTGTGTATCAGGTGCAGAAGCTGGTCGGGAGACAGCCAGCGCACTCACGGCCCGCCACCCTGTGCTCCCTACAGGCCGACCCCATCACCAACAACCCTGCCTCAGCCTCATGGCCCGCGGACCGCACGCCCTCGGCACCACCGGGCACCATCTGGCAAGGATTGGACACGTGTGAGGTGAGCAGAGGGAGCTGGTCAGCAGGTCGCTCCCGGAGCTGGGGTCTCAGCAGGAAGGCCGTTGTGCTTTCTGACCGTCTCAAAGCAGATCTCTGATTTGCTTACTAAATAAGCGAGACTTCCTTTCCTCTGGAGGGCTCTGAAAGCTGGGTTATTCTGGAACTTCCTGTTTCTATCTGAACATAAACTCACCAGTATCAGATGTCTAACAATGCTTTTGTCAAATACATGGAATTAATGTATAATAGATACAAAACAGATTTATATAATAAGCACATTTTTAAGGCATCCTCTTTCAGACAGGCTGTACACACTGATTTCCTATGTTTATCGCCTTGGGAAGAGATCTCGTGTCACCTTGAACTTCTGTCAGACTGGGCTTTACTGATTCACCAGCCACTTAAGGCAGTGATGGAGCCCTTACTACGCGCCGGCTCCGTACTGGACACGGAGACAGCCTCCCTTCAGGAGCCCCCAGGTCCGCTGGCAACACTACCACAGTGTCAGCATCGATGCCACCACAAGGCTGTCGTAAAAATATCAACGATGTTACTCTATGCGCTGATTTTGAAATATGAATCTTCCCAAATTAAACGGATGATCATTTAAAATGTCCAAAGCTCAAAGCTGGTAGGCCAGGTGGACTGTACACTGGTTTATCCCAGGGCAAAGAGAAATGCACAACGTCCCCCGTCAGTCCAGTTTGGGATCAGGGAGGGGGTTCGGAAAGGGGGCCACCCCTAAAAGCCATCCCCCTGTGCTCTCCTGGCCTCTTTGCAGACTACAGGTGAGCCGCATATAATATACCTTTAATATACTGGAGTTTTACATTTGATGAGACAGACTGTCAGGCCCCGAAGAAACGAGCTCACATGTACACCCAAACATCATACACAAGCGTTCCAGCAACCGATTCAAGGCAGCCCCAAACTGGAAACATCAGGAACATCCCTCGGGAGCAGGAAGGATGAATAAACTGTAACAAACTCGACCATGGACACACCTCAGACATAACCAAGACCAATTCCTAGGGACCACGCTCACAGATGTGGGCACTGAGTGACGATAGTCACGATGGAGCGCAAGGACACACAAGGGGTCAGGGTGCCAACATGGGGCAGTGGTGGTCTTGTGGGGATGGGGGTAACTGAGAAAGGACAGGAGGAAGCCTTCTGAAACATTCTGCAATTCCGACTGGATCACAAACACGCCAGGCTGTGCGCGGAGGGCCAGCGCACCGCACAGCAGGAGCATTAACCCCAAGCGAAATGATACCAACCAAGAACAGCACACCAGCCCCGGAGGACAGGCAGAGGAGGACACCGACAGGAGGCTCTGGGAGAGGACAGGCAGAGGAGGACACCGACAGGGGGCTCTGGGAGAGGACAGGCAGAGGAGGACACAGACAGGAGGCTCTGGGAGAGGACAGGCAGAGGAGGACACCGACAGGAGGCTCTGGGAGAGGACAGGCAGAGGAGGACACAGACAGGAGGCTCTGGGAGAGGACAGGCAGAGGAGGACACCGACAGGAGGCTCTGGGGGACTCAGCCTTCACACCTCGGACCCATTAAATCGACAGAAAGCTGCTTCAGGCGTCAATTATGAGATGCTAAACCAGCTCCACCACCTACCTGGACACGCATGCGAGAAGGAAGGTGCTGGGGGCAGAGAGGCCGTGAAACCTGGAACTACGTCTGCTACTCCTTTGAGAGAAGAATTTCTCTTTGGTGGGCAGGGGTTACCTGGTCCCACTCTCTCCCCGAATCAGCCACCTCTGACAGCCAGCTACCTGCAAATGACGCAGCTGACCCCCCACACCATGGTCCTTTCCTGCTGTCTAGGGCACGGGGCTGCTGGGCAGCAATGGTGTACTCTCCTAGGGTAAGAACAGGGAGAGACCACCCACCGCGTGCTGCGGGACGCAGTGTGGGGGCTGTTTGAGAACACACTACGAAATGTTTCCCCTTCATGAAAATAACATCAACAAGCAGAAGCAGGTCCAAGCCCTGTACATGGGAGCTGGATGCATAAACATTGGAGATGAACCTCAGAAGGCAAAGTTTAAAAATAACCTGTCAGGAGTAAATGAGGAGTGACAGGTAAACTGTGAGATATTAAATTAGCAACGAGGGGTTAAATCGCTGGAGAGTAACGAGAACGACAAAACCAATCCGTTCTTTATGATACATCCAAAACAGTAAAACAGAATCCAAGCCTGAAGAACGGCAGGGCTCTGGTCTCTCAACAAGTCCCTCTTGGAGGAGGTCTGTCCCACGTACAGAAATAGGTTCTGCGACATCAAGAAGCCGTGAGAATTCTCAGAGCCCACTGTGTATCTGGACCTTACCCGCAGGCTGTTCATCTTCCAAGGCTCCGGGAACGAAAGCCACAGCCCCAGACCTGCCTGCTCCCCCAGGACCACCACGCCTGAGCTGCCACGCACACAGCTGGAGCGCATCTCGACAGCGCCCTGGGGCAGCGGCCGGGGCCTGGCTTTCTGGAAGTTACATTAGGACCCCACAGGCCTACTCACCCCTTAGGACAGGAAGTTTAACTCAGTCATGGAAGGGCTTCTGGAATTCTGCAATTTCTGGAGAAAAGTCCCTAAGCTTTCATTAGATTTTCAAGGGGATTTATAACCTAAAGGTGGCTCAGTACCACTGGACCCGAGCAAATGCTACACAGGTATCCAAGAGAAAGGAGTAGGTTGTTTTCATAAGCAAAACATAAAAGGGAAGGAAGAAACCTTCATCTCCTGGGTCTGTTTAAAAGTTATCATAAATCTGGAAATGGTAAAATGCTCAACTTTGGTGACTGAATTTGTTCAACGACCCAAGATGCCACCTACTGGTATTAGAGGTAAAATCCCATTATGACTGATCATGAGTAATGCTTGTTTACTAAAAAAAGCCCATTTATTACCTGGCAATTTTTAATAGCAGAAAATTAAAAGGTACTGTTAGGCAAAGAAAAAAAAAACCTAGGGGCAATAAAGGGAGATCTGTGATAGAGATTTTATTTGCCTCATAAAAATCGTGCTGGACACTAAGGTGGGGAAGCAGTCTGCTCATCAAAGACATCCAAGTGAACAGCAACAGGGCAGCGGCCGGCGGACGGGGCCACTGGGAGACGGGCTGACCCGTCTCTCGAGAAAGTTCACGACGTAAGCGAGACGGTGGGAGTGCCTGACGTTGCTCAGGGAACAGGGGCAGCAGCTCCTGGGACGGCCTGTCTCCACTCACACACACCCCACCGCAGCCTGAGACCCGTGGTTTTTAGGACTGGTCATTCTTGAAAAGACAGGCCGCTACTCTTACCGAAGTCGGTGTGGCTGCTCATCCATCCGATGGCTTTGAGGGACACCAGCGCCAACAGCCCGGAGCCCACGAACGAGCCGACGCCAGAGAAGAAGAAGAACAAGCCCATTATGGCGCTCTGCATGGACTTGGGGGCGGCGGAATAGGCAAACTCCAGACCTACGGAGAGGAAGGGGACGTGGTCTTTGTGGGGAGCCCTCCGACGGGCGCACGACGCTCCCGCCCAAACACGGAAGACGCGGCACCGGTCCAGCTGCGGCGGCTCCCTTCCTGTTCTCAAGTCAGGACTTACACAAGCTCGAGACACCAACGGCTCTGAGCTAGCTGCCTACTCTCCCGTTCACCGTGACGACTCCTACAACATCTCAGTGAGGCACAAAGTCAACTCCCGGCTCTCACACCTAAAGGGAACATCTGATTTGTCAGCTCTTAGAATTTCTTGTTCGTTAGAGAAAAAGGGATTAAAGAAGCAAAATTTTCCTATATTCTCAACTAATGGGAGTTTGGAAACAAAGTACAAACACTAGAATGAGGAATTTACTTAAGAATTCTATCGCAAAGGCAATATATTTTACAACAATCTCAACAGGCACATCTATAAATTCACATTTGTGTAATAACTAGACGTGGAGATTTGCAGTGTTCTAAGTGGAGGACCATCTTTTTGATGTATTCCCTTCACAAACTCATTAGCCAATTCCGCCTGAATTGAGAGATGAGAGGAGAGGTGAAAATCATCGCCCGCTAGCACCCACCCGCTCCACAGGCTCGGTCCTCACTAATTTTCTCCTTCTCTCGCCCCCAGCAGCCAGAAACAGGTCTGCACAGAATACGCTTGTCTGAAACACCACAGACTCCCGCTAACAGGGAAGGAGAGGCCTGTGGGAACACGTCTTTGCGTCCTTACACAACTGAACTGAAACACTGAGAGCCGGGCTGCGAGTCGCATCCTCGGGCTCGGCTGACAGCGTAGCTGCAGGGTCTGCTGGGAAGCAACGGACCCAGAGGACGCCGCCCAGGGGTTCTTCCTCCCTTCCTCGCTCCTGTGGCGCCTCTGCGGCAGCAGGCGGATTTCACAGGAACGTTTGGGGAATCCTGCTTTTATACCAAGAAAGGAGAACCTCAGACGTGGTCTTGTTGCTCACTTCCCACTCCATATTCTGAACCACAAGTATCCACAAAAACACAAAAACGCACTGTGCTGTTTTTGTCTCAACATATTCTAACGAGAAAACAGCACGGCTTTTATCATCCCACGACCAGCCTGGACCCAGACAACTGTGACTTAACAGTACCTGCTATGCTTGCGAAGATCTCGCTGACACCAATCAGCACGTACTGTGGGAGCTGCCACCAGATCGGCAAATCGGCAGCAAAATAAACGACTTTTCCAATGGTTTGATTAATAGTCTTCTCTTTAACAAGGTCCAGCCTCTTGCTTTCCAAAATTCCTAGAATTCATAAGTAAGTTAGTAGAGCACTTATTCATTAACTTTTGCAATTAAACTACAAAACCAGAAGTTTGCTACAAGGCGCTTTTTGATTATTCTGAGACATACACGGAAAGATAACATCCAACAACACAGCCTCCCCCAGAACCCTCAATCTGAGGAATCGCCCAGCTTTCAGCTTCCTCAGCAGGTTGCTGAAAAATAGAGTTCTGATCACACGTATTTCATTTGCACATTTCACACTGCTTTATAAAATGGATGTTCAACATGTTTAATTTAACCCTCAAATATCTGGATTGCTCACAACCTATATTCCGTTTTATTTCTTTTAAAAGGAGGAGTAGAGGGGTCAGCCCCATGGCTGAGTGGTTGAGTTCACGTGCTCTGCTTTGGCGGCCTGGGGTTTTGCCAGTTCGGATCCTGGGCGCAGACATGGCACCGCTCATCAGGCCATGCAGAGGCGGCATCCCACACAGCAGAACCAGAGGGACCCACAACCAGAATCTGCAACTATGTACTGGGGGGTTTGGGGAGAAGCAGCAGCAAAAAAAAAAGAGAAAAGAAAGAAGATTGGCAACAGTTGTTAGCTCAGGTGCCAATCATAAAAAAAAAAAAAAAAGGAGGAGTAGAGGAAAGCTAATAGTCAGTCCTGCAATAAAAAACTTGATAATGCTATTTTACGTATCAGAGGGTAATACATTTCGAGATGTTTCTCCCATTGTGGTGACAGATTTAAGCTGCCCCACCAATCCACCGTCACTACTGTTACAACCATGGCTGCTGCTGACGATGCTGGGGTCCTGGCACAGGTGGGCTTCACCTTAACAACAAAGCACCGAGCTTCCCAAATCAACTTCTGCCCTCAGCAGCACCAAGATCTCACCAAGTCATCTGTCATCTGTCAAGTGCACAGGAGGACATCGCAAGACAAGCAAGAGCACAAACAGCAACTCTTTATAAAACAAGAAAATACATCAAAATAAAGTTTAAAAACGATAATTTGTAGGACCAAGTTCTTAGGTTGAAGATGTCACCAAGTTTTGTTTCTAAAGAATTCTACCTGCAAATGAAACAACGGGCCCTGATATTTAATGGACATATAAAGACACACGTGCTTAGAACCCTGAGCGTGAGGAGGGCGGAGGGCCAGGATCTGCTGGACAGAGAGGAGAGAAGAGAAACTCCGGAACCTGCACCCAAACCTCATCTCAAGTGAAGCGTCCAAACCGAGAGGAACCATTCCAGAGGACCGAGGTGGAGAGGCCTCCAACAAAAGCCTGGCCCTCCTCCCTGGAGCTGAGCTCAGGGACCCCAGCCCTCACCCTTCCTCCGACTGAGAAACACAGATGAGCAGAGCAGGCTGCTCAGAGCTCTGGCTGCTCTGGAGCGGGCCTCTGAGGCATGGCAGGGCCCGGCGGCCACCTCAGTCAGACGCTGGTGGCGGCAAGGCCTTGTGCACAAGTGACAGCTCTCCCCCTGGCGGGCCACTGGCAGCACTGGCAGGGCAACAGCTCCCACCTGGCTGGAGGCCTTGAGACTCACAGGAGAAAGTGCAGGGGGCTTCCTCTGGGTCGCCGAGGTCCAGTCGGCTCCCGCCCGTTCTGCTCCGGCTGTCAGGCTGCTGCACCAGCCACGAGCCCTCCAGCCAGAAGGGTTTGGGTGCAACTCAAGTGCACAGTTAGGTCTAAAGGGAGGGACCCACTCACCTGTTTTGCGGAATAAATCCTGGCACTGGATAAGACTTTAGTCATTCACAGGAAAGGCAAACAATCCTGTGTGTGTGGTGGGGACAGTACATAGACTAAGTAACATGAAGAGAAGAGATCACATCGACTCCTGGCAAAGTTCTGGCAGAGGAGGGAAGTAAACTGTTGGCCAGGATCTGCTCCGTGCTCTTTATTCGTCAAGAAAACACAGACTTTGTGAAGACTGAGGGGGAAAGGTACCAGACACTGAGGGGTGCTAAGGGGGACACACATAACAAGACCAACCTAAGAGAACATGAAGAAATAAAGAAAAGCTGCCCGCTGGCAGGACTGTTAGGAGGAGGCGAGGCGTGGCGGACGCTGCAGCACAGCACGGGCCGGGGCGCGGCCCAAGAGAAGCGGACAGAAGCAGCTGCGGGAGGGGAAGGCGGTCCTGCACCAACACGGAGGCTCCGGAGGAGACGGGACAGGCTGAAGGAGGCCGTTGTGACCCATCAGTAACAGGATAGCATCATTATGAGCGAACATGAAAGAGGAGGCTGGAATAACCGACGGGCAGTCCCTGCCGTGAACGGGCCAACATCCTCAATGAAAGGCATAACCCACAGCAGGTCAAATAAACAAACCGAACGCCGTGGACGAGACGAGGCACGGAAGCTGACGCAACGTGAGGTCGTGAGGAAGAGGGAGGGCGGCCAAGATGCACGGGGCAGAGCACAGAGAAGGAGGGGGGACACCCGGGACACCAGGGCAAGAGAGAGCCAGCAGAACCCTGAAATAACCCACGGGCCATTCAGTGAGTGCTTCTGGTATTAACACGCATCCCTGCTCCCTGCTCCCTTACAGGCACCATCTCATTATTATTCACAACCAGAGAGAGAAATAACACCTGGGTCCCGCAGAGAAGAGGACGCTGAGTCTTGGAGACTCGACTAGCAGCAAGCCTGGGCTTCAAACCCGGGTCTGAAGGATGCCACATGTGCCGCCTCCCTTCCAAAGGGCTCTTCTATGGACGACGCATACAATCCCCAGAGAAAACATGAGCCATAAATGTTGACATTATGTAAAACACCATCATCTGCTGGGGATACAGCGAGGACCTGACTGAAACACACTTCTTGGTCCTTGTGAGAACAAGGAGATGAAAACAAGACTTTGGTGCGAGGGTCGCAAACTGGAGACCCAAAGACGAACCTAGCCCTGAACTTCATGGACACAAGAGCTCAGCTCAGTTCGCTTCACTGAATGAAGTGAACAGACACGAGATCTGTGCCTCACGGGGCTGCACTCCAACAGACCCCAGTGTTCAGAGGGTTTGCACGGGCCCTGCCTCCCATTCATCAGACTGAGCCCAGACCACAGCCCTCCTGGACAGTGCGCTCACCCCCGCAACCCTCAGAGCCCTGGAGGCACGAGGAGCTCTGCCAACAAGGATCTGATCAACAGAGCCTGCAGTGTTACAGCAGACGAGGACCACCCCATCCAGCACCAGGCAACATTCTGACAAAGTGCTACTGGACCCAAAAGGAAGCCCTGAGCTCCCAACACAGGAATTATAAAGCTGTGCTCTCTCCCAACTCCATGATGAAACCAGGCGTCACTACCAAATGGACCAACACAAACATCAACACTACGAAATGAAAACATTCTCTGAAATACTCTTGGATCAAAAAGGAAATAAAAACTACAGTTTCAATATTCTTCGGACCCAACAAAGCAAACACCCAGCACATGACTCTGTGAGAAAGCAGCAGGAAACAGGCAAAGTCATACCCTTACCTGTTTTCACGGCTAAAGAGAAGAACAAGGAAAAGTAAGTGAAGAATTTAACTCCAGAAATGAGAGTCACAAAACAAACCCAAGGGAATAGAAAGACATTAATCTCTTCATTCTTCGCTCAGAAAACACAGAAACAGTTAAACTGATAAATTCGGGAGATACTCCTATGGAACAATCAAAAAGGGCACAGTTTTGGAGATTCTGATCAAGAGCACACACATACACGAAACTAGAAAACGAGGAAGGAAACACGCACAGATTTATTTAAGACTATTTTTATCTCCGCTGTAATAATTTTTCTAAAACGCAATAAACAATTTACTCAGGACATTAAAAAATGGAGGGCTTAAGTAATTCAAGAGAAACCAAAATGGCCTGATGTCATGTTCCAGGCAGCAGACAGATGATCCTCACCCTGTGACAACACTCTCCCGCCTACAGAAGTACGGAGCTGACCGACTCCTCTCATGAAGTTAAGTAACCCTGACACCAAACCAGGGACTGACATCAGTTAGGAACAGAGACGCACAGCAGCAGATTCCAGCCAAACCAGCCAAGTCAGCCCTTTAACAGTTTATGTTAGAAATGCGAGGACAGTGAAGTATCAGGAGTTAATATAAATAAAAACATGGCGGGCATGTGATCCTCTTGGAAACCAACATAAGATATTCGAGAAAAACTCAACATTCACTTCTGCCAAAAATACTCAGTAAACTTGAAACAAAAGTGAGATATTTAACATCATCACGAACAGATATTTCAAACTAAGGTCAATGGTAAACGTCGAACGTCACAGGGAGCTGCTGGGGGCACCCGTTTTAAAGGCGGGGGCGACGGAGGTTACCACCACCGTCACCCACAGCTTAGAGAAAGTCTAGCCAACACTGCCCAACAAAGAGAAAAAGAGGTAGAATTGTCACAAAGGAGGAAAAGAAACTATGTTATCTGAAGATGAGATGAGCTACCTTTTGAAAATAATTCACTGAACCTCAACTTGTTAAAAATCCCATGTATGAGAAACCAAAATACACAAAGCAGTTAGGAATAAACCCTACATAAAATGTATAGGATCTAAAAGAAAACTCTGCAACATATCACAGATAAATTAAAGGGAAAATGAAAAAAAGAGAGAAAAATTCCTGAGATGAGATAAAGTTCTGAATAGTAACAATTGATTACATATCAATAATAAGAAAAACCCACTAGAAAATGGCTACCATGACCTGCACACAGAATGTACTGACTGATAAATCTGGGGAAAAAAATCTTAAACATCACTAATAATATACGTTAAAGCAAAGACAAAGCAGGCTGTAACCCTTCAGATAGGAGAAGATGAACGCAGAGGAAGGAAGATGCTGTCAGATCAGCCTTTGTGCACATCGCACTCTCTGCTCTGCTCTCCCACGCCGAGTGCTCCAGCCAAGGAGGCAATGAGCACGTGCACAACAAACGGATGTGCAAGGTGCACAGAGCACTGTCTGCAGTAAGGACAGACCGGAACTAACCATCATATTTAACAGGAGAATTATAACTACTGACATGGAAAAATGGTATGTACCTAGTACACAAAAATAGTAGGTTATAAACTGTGTGAAGAGTTTATTTCACTGGTCTCAAAAAAAAAGTCATTTAGCCGTAACAGAAAACATTCCAGGACTTAAACATAGTTGTAGTGGTCATTGTGGGACGGTGGGATGACGGATGCACTTAGGTCTCCCCGACTTTTATCTCCATATTTCTAATGACCATGGATTGACTGTGTAATAATCATTTTTAGAAAGTGCTGTAGACCAGTGGTCCTTAGCTCTTTTCTAAGGAAAGCTATGACCCAGAAAGGTCCTCAGACGATTCTGCCTCCGTTTCAGATGCTCTCCAGGCCCTGGAGCCCATGCGTGGACTCCTGCCTGGAAACCGCTGTGAGAGCAGAGCACCCACGACGCCCAAGTGTGAGGAGCAGACCGCTAAGGAGGATGCTCCGTACCATCAGCCCAGGACGATAGGTGGGAGTTACTGTCTTTCTGGAGAATAATTCTGTCAAATTCATCAAAAGCCTTAAAAGGATGTAATGATTACACATCCAGGGATTTGAGAAGTAAAGAAATTTCACTGCAGTGATTACTATAATAGTGAAAAACTAAAACTCAATACTCAGCAACAAAGGATTCAGATGAATGTCTGACGTGGAATGATATTTGTGATACATGAGGTTTTTTTAAAATGCAGGTGACAAAGGAAGTATAAATACATACTTATCACACATTGCATATAGATTTTCCTGCGCATCTGCGGAACTGCAATAGCGGATTACTCAAGTGATGGAATGAGGAGTGCTTAACTGTACATGTGCGTGCGCAGGCTCATCTGTATTTGGGTTTTTTACCTCCTTATACTTAAGATGCACAGCTTTTATTATACTTTTATGGTTTTCTTACACTTTTTCTTAACCAGGCTTAAATCAGCTTACATAATAGGATTTCATTTTTGCAAAAACACAGAAGGTGTACATCTGTGCGCGTACAGAACACAAACAAGACTGGACAGATGCCACCCCAGGAGTGAGCAGCTCTGGGGGCATTAGTTGACTTTTATTTTCTTCTTTATGTTTCTAAGGTTTCTTTTTCTCCGGTGTCTATTACGCTACTGATTTAACACACACAATTTTTTAAGGGGAGAAAGAAATCTGACAAATTAACATACTTCTTTTTTTCTTAAGCAGACGTGGAGAAACCCTTGCCCCCGCCTGATTCTCATCTGAGACAGTCTGAAGGAGTTATTACGGCAGGCACGGCACTAAATGGAGGATGCTGACTTATCAGGGATGAACGCAGTCAGCCAAACGGCAAACTTACTATTAATGAATGCAGTAAGTTCAAGGCAAAAGTTTCTTTTCTATTAAAATTTTGGTTTCCTATAATGGTCTCAGGTCTCTACTTAAAGCTTATTAATGTTCCAATCAAATAATCATCACTAGAGCTGGAAGTGAAACTACATGAAACCTGGGTCACTGTTTAGATTAAATTTAATAAACTGTGCTTAGGTCAAGTTACGAGATATTTAAACTCTTTCAACCAGTGACAGCTAAGCTCCTTGTCAATATCTGGCCACTGAGCAAAGCAAGCCTTTTTAAGGAGGCAGGCAGAGCAGGCAGTCTCCCTTTCTGGGGAACAGTGAGATGCTGAACCTCAGACTGTACAGGCTCACTGCTCAAGGCACCCGGGCCCCCAGGCGCCAGCAGCCACTCAAAGGCAGCCTGACTGCTCAGCACTGGAGCAGCCACCGCGCATGTTGGAGGCACTTTTAAAAGCTGGAACTGCCGTGCCTGACTGGGTATCCTCAACAGCCACTTGTCTGCCAGCTGCTCCTGCACAAACACCTACAGAACCACCGGAATGCCCCCGTGCTTCTCAGGGCAGCCCACATGAGCCACCGGCCATTAAGGAAATTGCAAGGAAGATGGTATTCAAGGAGCCGAAACCCAGGATTCTACTAGGAAGTGCTGGGAGACCAAGGACATCTCCTTTCCCACAGGGAGAGATCAAGGACTCTCTTCCGTGGCATGTGACAGCATGGTCACAGCGCACAGAGGGCTGGCTCCCCAATCCTGGAAACGAGACGAGTTGCTGAGGCCAAAGCTAAGCCCATGGCAGGTGCTCAGAGGAGGCAAGACAGACAGACACATCCCCAATGCCACGACAGTTCCTGCAGGCAGCCCTGCTGCCTGCTGACTCCACTTAACGAAACCTGCAATTAGATCCTGTGGTAACTGAGTTCTTACTTGCCCTGCTTACTCCCTCACGTGCCACAGGACTGGAAGAGAAACGGAGTTACAGGGAAAGCACACCATGAGAACTTCATTCAGACACAGCCTCACTTTATCTATCTGATCAAGAGAAAACGTCATTGGGGCCAGCCCCATGGCTGAGTGGTTAAGTTCACGCGCTCCGCTTTGGAGGCCCAGGGTTTCGCCGGTTGGAATCCTGGGTGCGGACGTGGCACCGCTCATCAAGCCACGCTGAGGCGGCGTCCCACATGCCACAGCTGGAAGAACCTATAACTAAAAATATACAACTATGTACCAGGGGGCTTTGGTAGGAAAAGGAAAAATAAAATCTTAAAAAAAAAAAAACACAACCTTTAAAAAAAAAAAAAGACAAAACGTCACAGTCCATGAGCTGTCCAGTCCCTGGAATATGGATGCTTACTCCTAGGGACTCACTTCTTCAGCTCTATCAAGTGCTGCATCAATATGTTCGCTCGGCAACAGCAGATGAAGGCTGCTATGGAGTGTTGCTGGAGACTACTGCACTCCGTCTCAGCAGCGCTTAACGTCAAATTCCTCCTAACACGAGACGATACACAGTTGACTCAGGAATAGCAGCTTTTCTTGTTAGCTAACTAAGCTATTTCACAGTTCAACAATTTTCAAATATTAAGGAAGGAAGAACCCGAAAGGAGGGTGAGAGTCAGTGACACCTCAGCTTTATCACAAGCTATTTCAACTTATATTTCAGAATATAAGAACTATGAAAAGGGCACGGAGCCCCCAAAAGGCTAATTCCCCTCGCTCGTGTTGGAATACTCAGGCATTAGTTCTTAACCACATTCTTTTTTCTAGGAGATGGGGGCTGGTCATGAACCTATTTCATAAAACCTTTCTCCCCAGGAAAATGCACGTGAAATTTTACATAAATGTGCAAAGAGTTCAGGGGCAGACTGGACCCTATTAAGCTCAGGTGAATGCACATCTTTAATCATGTAACACCTCAACTTATAGAAACCCATCCATCAGCACTCAACAGCTGTCTATGGTCTGGATCCACAGGGAGAGGACGCACCCCTTGATTCAATGCACAAATCCCTTCCAAGGCACTTCACTGGTTTTAGTTCTAGAAGAAAAACAACAACCCTTAGGAAGAAAACCTTAAACTTCATGTAACGAAAAACTAGAAAATGAACAGCACTCAGGTTTAAAACAGTCCACATACGTTCTCTTCTCAAGTCCACGCGCTTCCTGAGTAAGGGGGAGCACCATCAGGGGCGACCACTAGACTCTGAGCCACTCACCACCCCGACGTCAGCAGAAATGAGGCCGAAACGGCATCTTACCGGCAGCGAAGGCAGAACACATCACAAAGAACATCCCAACAGCGATCCTTTTTAAGGATGATGGGAGCAAGCCATTTCTTCTCAAAATGGGATCAACCAGCTTATCCTTTAAGGGAATTAACAGGAGGATGAGCACCGCATCGAACATGGTCAGCCAGGCTGCCGGAAACTAGAATTGGAAAATCACAGGCCACGTGTTTATTTTCCTGCAATGTGAGTAGTTACTTATTATATAACTAATGTCCAAATGGGAAAACCTTATTTCAAGAACAGTTCATTTCTACAAAGTATAACCTCCTAGGGAAAAAGTCTCAGCTTCAAGACACTGGAACTGAGGAAACACTTTCATTTCTAAATGGATTTGCATTTGTTTTTCTGCGATTTAAGGCGGGGGAAGAATCAGGTGAAAATATTAACTAATGTTTAATTGACACGGACCTAGTAAATAACAAAGCCAATGGAAAAAATCTCCAAGATAAGTAAAAACTCCATTTCAATAAGAATGCTTTAAGTTCAAGCTAACATTTATAAAGTATCTACGACTGGCAGAAGGAATCTATTTGTCACATAAGCCCCAAGTGACAATTTCCAGATCACGTCAGTTGTTCTCACCGTATGAGGAGTGGTTGTAATATTGGACATTTCCGGAATCTTCAAATGAAGACTCTGTAAAACATACGTTGTCTGCATCTGGGTGTAAAAAGCAGAGTCGTTACACGTGAACAGCTCTGCCCCTCAGCCACGTCCCGCGTGCCGCCCGCCCCCGCCCACCCTGTGCTGAGACACCAAGGGCTCAGGTGTGAAAGAGACAAGTCCATTACGTGGTCATCACAAAAGGCGTCTGGAGACCAACTTTGAAAAAAAAGTAACAGTTATCCAAACAAGAAATCAAAATAAAAGGAGGGCTTGGAAAAGCAGAAGCATATCTGTTCTCAGCTTCTTTTTTGAAAAGGTTTTCAAAATATTTAAATCAGCAAAAATGAGTCCTTAACTAGAAACAAGATTGCAAGATCCTAGACTCATGGAAATCATGAAACCCTTGTACTCTAGCGATGGCCCTAACCAGTGCCGGGGGACATTCCATGGGAGAGAAAGGAAAGTAAACCTGGTTGTCACCACTCACTTGAAAATACACTGTCCAGTAAGGAATCAAAGCCAAGAAAACAGGGATAATCTTGACAAGAGCTCTCACGTCTTCCACTTTATCTTCTGTAAATGGCCCTCCACGAGACATCTTACATGAATCAAACAGACTTTGTTTAGAAGATTGCTGAAAGACTCCAATGCCTTCACTTTGGGAAATAAAATGAAGGAATTAGTTTTCTTCCACCCCCAGAAATCAATTATCTGGTAACATATTAAGTTTGGAGGTAGGAAACCAGCTTGCTGTCTTGAATTTGCTCTAACTTCTTTCTATTAGTTACTAATTGTACACACCAAACATAGCTACTAAGATTATTCCTACACATTGCAAAATCTACTGAAACACTGACAAAAGGACTGTCTAGTCAAGGTGCAATCGGGGCCCCTGTCATTGTAACGAGGCTGAGAGGTGCAGTCTGATCACAGTCTGAATTGGGCTGACCTCACCCCTGGCTGTGGTCACACTGGTCAACAACCCCCTGTGTTGAGCAAAGCCTGCAGTTTCATCTGGAGCTGACCTCGACATCGTCAGCTACATCACTGCACTAGTATTTGAGAAAAAATTGTGCTGCATTGTCTGGAAAATGTCAAGACTTGACAACTAATACCAACACTGTTAATAAAATGGTAACGGTTTATGTAAACTGCAGGACGGGCTCTGTTCTGGTGGGGAAAGCTGAGAGGGGAGGGACAATGCTCGTGATGACGATAACAACCAGGTTACCTGGTCGCAGGTGACATCAGGTGCTCAGTGTGCACCATGCTCCTGCCTAAGTGCTCACTCGTCAACCCTGACCACAACCCTAGGAGGCACCAGGATATTCCTGCCAGCCCCACTGCACAGAGAGGGAGGCCAGGGCACAGAGAGGTAAGGAACATGCCCAAGGCAACAAAGCCAGAGAGCTGGGGCCGGACTCGAACCCAGGCAGTCCTGGCTGCAGACTGAGGCCCTGCCCAAGGCAGGACACCACCTGCGCTCTGCTCCCGACTCAAAGGCATCGCCCTCTCTCAGGTCTGTTGGTCATGGTCAAGAAGGCAGGCCTCTGGGTCCTGGCTCTTGTATCGGCAGCTTCGCTCACTTGCTTACTCAGGGCCTGTTTCATTATTTGTAAAATGAACAGGTCTCAGCACATAGCTCCAAGATCTTTCCTAGCTCAAAACATTCTGACAGAGAAACATGTTCTAAGGTTCTTAGGGGTAAAATAGAAAGAAAAAAAATTGTTTTAATTGCACACTATTCTCGAAAGCCAGAAATATCAGCAGATAATTACCACTAAGATTGCTTCCAATTCTGGGACTCAGATATAAATGGCAATTGTCTGCTTTCTAGTTTATAAACTCCTATCCCACTTAACTGAGTTGTCACTATTTTACATCGTTTTTGTCTTATAATATTGACATTTTTAATTTGAACTTTCAGAGCAGGGGAAAAACTGAAAACTGTAACAACATTTTAGCCAAATTTTGGAGATAAACTACATTCAATTCAGCAAATGTTGACTGAGCACTGAATATACGCCCAGTTCCATTCTAACTGGGTGCTGGGGACACAAAAATAAACGTAAAAAGATATGTTTCCTGTCCTTATGTAGCTTAGTCTACTGGGGAAAAAAATCAGAAAAAACACACTCAGAGTGGACCTCGAAGTTCCAAAGATATTATTCATACGTTCATTTGAAAACATTTATAGCTTCTCCAATTATTATTATTATTTTGGCCAAAAATTAAAAGTCCTTGTGTACCTAACATAGACACTATCAGTGGTTTACTATATCATACTACATGTGTTTTTCTAAAAACATTTAAATGTCAAATAACAAATCCATTTTGACACATAGAATCATTCATACAGGTTACTGGTTATATTACTTTTATTTTGTATCTTTAAAATATTTTAAAACTGCTTAGTCAATATGCACGTAAAACTTGACCTAATCCACATAAATGGTTAGTATATTATTTTGTAACATACAAGGGTCTAACATGGAGCCACGGCCACAGTGACACAGAACACAGACAGAACCCAGAAAGCCGCAGCGCCCCACCTTCAGGAGGCCTGTGCTCCCCAGGACTGTCTGCAGGGGCTGGATGCACAGCTATGTGCATTCTCCCGGGAGGAGGGCCACTGGTTCTCAGATTCTCAGCTCAGAGGTCTATGTCTCAAAAAAGGGTTAAAACTATTTCCACTCTGGTCTGATGAACTGAACAGATATTCATGGATTCCTCATTTAAAATCAACATTAGGGGCTGGCCCGGTGGCAGAGCAGTTAAGTTTGCATGTTCTGCTTCTTGGTGGCCGGGGGCTCGCCGGTTCGGATCCTGGGTGTGGACTTGGCACTGCCTGGCAAAAGCCATGCTGTGGCAGGCGTCCCGTGTATAAAGTAGAGGAAGATGGGCATGGATGTTAGCTCAGGGCCAGTCTTCCTCAGCAAAAAGAGGAGGATTGGCATTAGTTAGTGCAGGGCTAATCTTCCTCAAAAAAAAAAAAATTAATTAAAAAAAAAATCAGCACTAAATCATCTTCAAAACAGACATCAACCTAGACCAAAAAGAAACAGGCAGTCGCCAGACGAAATGAATGCCAGAAATAAGGAAAATGCTGGATAATGCTGGGCTTCCTTGGGCTTCTGGAGCCGACCTTCTGTGAAAGCATCCTCATTAAGAAGTTACCATCGACCAGGTGTTAACCCTGGGCCAGGCGTCCTGCTAAGAACATCGCACACAGCTCACTGAGGCCTCACGATGATCCTATGGGGCGAGTCCCTCTCCACTGTCCAAAAGGAAACACACGTTTGGCAAGGTCACTAACCTGCCCAAAGTCACAAAGCCTGGACCTTGTGCATAAGGAGAGCACAGTTTGAGAATTCTCTAGACCACTGACTTTTCTCCAAGCTAGTCGTTTTTTCCTTAATTGTGCCAAAGACGACCTCCAAAAACAAACCTAAAGGGAAATCAGAGTCCTCAGTAAATGGAAGCCCAAACCGTCCTCACCTTGCCCTTTGTGCATTAAAACCCCCAAATGTCCACAATGCAACGGCACTTCTTGCAGAAATGTCTACCGGGTACCACCCACACAGACATGCTGAAACTTTAAGGGCTGTTCCTTCAAAAGGATGTATTTTGCTAATGGGTATTCTGTCCACAGAATAAACCTCCAGAATGTGAAACCCTGCTTTTCCTAACTAGAATAAGGCCCGGGAAAGCACTCGCGCCTGCTGCTGAGGCTGTGCTGATCTAATTTTTAAGAAGCCTTTAGTGTGGTCTCACCACATGGAGTTTGGAATTCTGAGGCTGAATGCCACACTGACCCATCAGAATGTCCAGGTCAACCAGGACAGTTAGGAGATCTGCGGGAACCCCACGCAGGGACAGCTGAGAAACCAGACATTTAACCCGGAGGAAAGGAGCAGGGCCATGAGTACTGTTTTGGTACAGCTGTAAATCTACAAGGAAGGAACATTAGACATTCATCACGATTCCAAGGACATAAATAAGACACGTGCAGAGAAGTCACGAGGAGGCCCATGTAGGGGCTGGCCTGCAGAAGAACATTCCAGCAACTGGTGCCATCCAACAACGAGCGTGCTGGACTGAGAGGCAGGCAGCTCCGCATGGCCGAGTAGCCAACCTCCGGCTCAGGGACTAACTGTCCATCGATAATGCGGACCCCGATAAAAATATTCCCTGAGCAGGGTGACTACTAAGGATCCCAAGGGCTTTTCTGGGGTGATGAACATATTCTGTACCCTGACTTCACGGTGCTTAATCCCAGAACTGCACAGCTAAAAGAGATGCATTTTACTACATGTAAATCATACTTCAATAAAGAACAAAAAGCCTCCAAGGTCCCTTCTTGGGCTAAGTTCTGGACTTTTCTTTACTAACCTGCACCTGGGGTAACCAACTGTGTGTCACGGTCTGCCCAGGACTGTGGGACTCCCCGAGGAGGTGGGGGTTTCAGCTTGAAAACCACAGTTCGTGGGACTGACAGTGCTAAAACAGGGCAAGTCCTGCACCAATTTGGATGATGGAGTTACCCTACCTGCATCTCAAAATTCTGCTACTACACCCTCTGTCAAAGAGCAGCTGAAGTGACCACTGCATACCAGGGCCCCTGCTGACCCCTCCAGCGCTGACCCAGAAGTGAGAAGCAGCAGCTTACTGTAGAAGAGCACGGAGAGGTACTTACAAAGTAAGCAACTGCTTGGTTTTTCATTCAAATAAATTCCACAGCTTTTTAAAATAACAAGGAAATGTATAGAGTATGATAGTGTCTCCTCTGTGCCCTCTGCAGACTTCTCTTCATCATCTTTCTACAACCAAGGGGCTGGGGCTTCCACCCATGCCAGCGGTGCGAGGAAGGTCAAGTGCAGGTTAAAGGTGAGAAGCACCAGCTGCGATTCAGGCCACTGGTCTGTCCTTGTGACGGAGACGACAACCTCCACCCGCCTCCCTGAGCCAACGTGAGGTTAAAGGGTGAGACACGTAAACCACTCAGCCCAGAGCGCTGCACATAATAAGCCACACGACAGACACGGGCTAGAACTTCATTTATAGCGACGAGCAAGTCCTATCAAATGGAGCCTGTGATAAGAATTCAGCACTCACCCACTATGGCCGCATTCTCCAACTCGCTTCCGGGGGCGGCACGAATAGGCCAGTATCTTGAACACATCAGTAAAGGCGCTGCCATCGGGGGGCTTGGTGATGAAAAAGCCCTGGGCACAGAGGAAGACCACAAAAGAGATGCCGATGCAGACAGTGGGGATGAGGTAGCCGCTCACAAAGCCCACGTTCTGCTGAATGTAGGCAATGCCTCCGAGCGAGACGATCGCTCCCAGATTGATGCTCCAGTAAAACCAATTAAAAAACCTCCTTGTGGCTTCTGGACCTCGATCTTTGACCTAAAATAAGAGGGAGGGAAAGACTTAGAAACGTGTGGTCATCTTCAAGGATGAAAAATTTATGCCATGTTTTCATATATATGATACATTTTTTTATACAATTACTATTATCATCACAGTCTTTAAGAAATGCAGCACAATCAAAATGCAGTTTACAGATACATTCAAGGGTCCCCTGATGAAAAAACTGTCCTACACTTTTAATTATTACAGATTCCAGGTAGTGTTTCTCTTAATTATGCTTAAATCCAACACATCTGAGAGAGTTTCTCAAGGACCATCTGTGAGCCACCTGCTTTGGAAACACCTGGAATGCTCCCTAAAAATAAAGATTCACAGGACCCACATTCCAGACCTACCTACTTATCATCTCTGGAGCTGGAGCCCAGGAATATGCATTTTAAACAACTTCCCAAGGGATTTCTATTCACAGCTACATAGTTCCACGCCTTGATAAATCCGAAGCAAAGAGGAATCTACAGACAGAAGCTAAAACCACAAGCTATTTTTAGATTAGGAAGGCTATCGATGCAATCAGGAGAAATTCTGATAAGGATAGAGGTTCCTGGAAGGCTCGAAACTCACTACTTTCCCGAACTTAGACAAACACAAGCAATTTCTAGGTGTACATTCTGCACAAAACCACTTAAATGGAGTCCATCGTGTCGGCGACAGTGACGTGGAGCCGGGCGCCCCATCACTCCCATTCCCACCTGGATCTGCACATCACATGGACACTGCGAGTGGGCGCTATACTAGCCAGAGCCATTTCTGGCCAGTTTCATTTCATAAATTTTTAAACAAACTTACTCTAAAGGCTGATGCTGGGTCGCATACAAAGACTGCCTAGTCTTGCTGTCTTAGGAACTTCTGCTGTCTTGTCCTTAAGTTACAGATTATGAGAAGGCTGAACAATTTCCGTGCCAGTGACAGATCTGAATTCTGATCCACAGGGCAATCTCCTCCACTAAAGGACAAAGGAAGTTTTCAATGGGGCCAAAACAACGAATTACGCAATATAAAAAGCATCCTTTCAGCGCTCACGTTACCTGATATGACATTTTAACCTATTTTTTAAGATTAAAGTACAACTGTAAAATACACAATCAAAATCCTGTGCTCCTCAAAAAAAATTATGTTTTAATCCAAAATGATTAAACATCGCTACTGTGTTGGCAAGTAATACGCTTTAAGTAATTATATGGTAACCACCACCTTGAACTAAAAATCTGAGTTTTAAATAAACCACATGTTCTGAGGGGAGCTTCAACTTGTCTCCTACCTACTGAACAGAGGCCCCAGACCAAACGCTAGCATGACTACCGAATAAACAACCTCTCCTGAGAATTTCAGGTATTTCTGAGACAGACAGTTCTTCACGGGGACACGATGCATTTAAACCACTAAACTGGACATATACACGGTATCCTGTAGATGGACCAGAAGCAAGAAAAATTGTGAGCAGAGGAATGGTTACAGAGAAAATATAACTAAAGATATAAAAATGAGTACTTGGGGGATGGAGGCAAGCTTAAAAGGGAAGAGGGCCAGTGAATATGATATCTAAAATTAACACAGACATAATTTGCCTATTAAGTGAACTATCTCGGGGCCGTTCCATTATCGGCAGCGGCACTGCACACAGCATCCTGGGTAAACTTGGCAGTCAACTTGTTTGAACTCCCAAGAGTAATTCACCAAAATCACTTCAAAAACCTAAGCCTATTACTAAGGCCCTAAATAACCACAGACCAGTGATTCTGTGTAACAAATGGGAAGCTGGCTCGCGTCAACTGCAGATCACATGCCTTCAGGCCCTGGCGGCGGGCGCAGCCATCCTGGCGTACCAGACACATTACATCACCATCTGCACAGCTGCCTGGTGCCCGAGGCAGCCAAGGGCAAACAGGCTCTTCACGTGACTGGTCAAGACACCCTGCAGTCAATCCACAGGAGAAGAGTGAAAAAGAGCAGAATTGTGCACAGAGAGTCAAATAGTTGGCTGATTCGGAAAAATTCCTTAAAATGCACACGAGTGCAAGTTTTTCTCCTCTAGAAAAAAAAAAATGTATCGTTTGGTTCCTTTATCTGTAAAGTAAGAAGTTTTTTTTTTCTTTCAGTTCACTATTTCAAATACGCACTCCATCCAAAAAGAATGACTGTGACCTTTGAAAAACGTTAAGCACTGGGGGAAAATACGGGGCTGACAGGATTTACATCAAAATAGATCACCCTTGGAATTTTCAGCTACTTAATCATCTTCTTTCAAAAGTCAGCCCAGGCCTCCTTCTCAAAACTGCACAGCCTGACCTCATCTATCTCTCACTCAGAATGTTTCCTAAAGGCCCCACATTGGAGGCAGAGATGAGAACAGAGAAGCATAAAACGTACTGTAAAAATACAAGTAGATTTACTTAAAATGAGAAGGGCTAGGAGTTGACTAACCCGTCCCGAAGAACAGCTCTGGCAGGCTTCAGGCTCAGAGCCACACCTCCCTCCAGGCAGCAGCCAGCAACCCTGGAGGGACCACCTCGAAATCCCCTTCAGAGACCTGCCAGCACCCTGGCATAAGGGTACTAACGTTCTCCTTCTAAATGTGTTTTCACTGAGATACAATTCATATACATACTAAAAAATTCACCCTTTTGAAATGTACAACTCAGTGGTTTTTAGTCTATTCATAGCTGTACGATCATCAGCACTGGGCAAGTCCACATTCTCATCACACCAACAGGAAATCCTGCTCCCTCCAGTCACTCCCATTCCCCCCCTCCCGACCCCTGGTGACCACTGGTCTTCCGGTCTTCATGAGTCTCCCTGCTCTGGACACGTCACGTAAGTGAAATCATATAATACGTGGTCTTTCATGCCTGGCATCCTTCACTCGGCACGACGTTTTCAAGGTTCATCCACGGTGGAGCACGCATCAGCGCTTCCTTCTTTTTACTGCCGATGAAGGACTACACCTGCTCTACCCACCATCAGTTGCTGGACATCTCCCTAACTTTTCATTTAAAAAATCTTAAACTTATAGACAAGCTGACAGAATAGTACAACATACATTCTACACCCTTCACTTAGATGCTCAGTTCTTTTTCTTTATATATATATATACATATATATATATATATATATGAAATACTCTTTTAGACTGAACTATTTAAAAGTAAGTGGCATCATCTTTCACCCCAAAGATTTCATCATGAATGTCCTAAAAATAAGGCCATTCTTCTCATGACCACAATCCATTATCACACTCAGGAAACTTAACATCAGTGCAATTTTATCTAACGTGGTCTATAATCAAATCATCTCAACTGTCCCCAAAAAATGGCTTAAAAAAATTGGGGATCCAACCACGAAGCACAGATTGCATTTGGTTGCCACGTTTCTCTAATATCCTTCTCTTTTTCATTGCAATGCTGTATTTAAAGAGATCAGACCAGTTACCTTGTAGAACAGAGCATTCTTTTTATGGCCACATTTAATTACGCATCAAGAGTGCATATTCTGCCATGCATTCTAGAAAACTTCTAGAGGACCATTCATTCTTTTAAGAAATATTAATTATTCATCTCTCATCTTCTGGAGCGCACTAACTTTTAAGTCACACTGCCTGGGTCCAAACCCAGAGCCCTGGCTGACTGGCTGTGGCCCTGGGCAGGTCAAACCCTCTAGAGCCCTGGCTGACTGGCTGTGGCCCTGGGCAGGTCAAACCCTCTAAGTCTCTGTTTCCTGTAAAACAGGGACAATTACAGGACGTAAACTGTTGTGAGGCTGGGATAAGATAGTGTAGGAAGAGCAGTGGGTACACTCGGGCAAAACAAACACTCATACCGCCCTTCGGTCACGTGGCCTGGTCTTTAAATGGAAAACCGTGCTCCTAGTGTGGTGTCTTCACTGTGGTGTGTGCCCCTCCCCCATCCCCGGCCCCCAAGCCAAAGCCTCACACCTGGGCCGTCAGATCACAGAATGCCCATCTTGGCGCAGCAGTTACATTACAGATTAAGACATACCTGGACTCAAACACTGGCTTGACCACTCACTACCTATAGGACAAGGAAATAACCTCTTTTTGCATCTGCATTTCCTCATCAGGAACACCAGTGTAGGACTCACATGAGGAGCTCAAATGAGTTCAAGTATGTGACACACATTCCGTCGTACAGAGAAGGAAGAATCCAGGACATCAGGCAACTATTACTGCCAACATCATTAGAAGGTGTAACGGATAGCCCTACACAGGTATGGTTAAAGCTCAGATTCAAAGGATGGGCTCTTGCATCCTGGCTCAGTCGTACCAGCTGTGTAACTTTGGGCAAATGATTTAACCTCTCAAGCCTCAGTTTCCTCATCTGTAAAATGAGCACAATAACAGCAGACATGTCGTGTAGGCTAACAAAGTACTTAGCGCAGGGCCTGGTGCATAGGAAGCTCTCAGTAAATGTTAGCAATCACATGGGAATTTAGCACAAAAACCTAGGCGTTAGCGCCCCTATTGCTCATATATGATCTACCAGCAATTCCTGCCCACTCTCCCTCCATAACTCCCCCTAAGGCCACCCACTCCACGTCCACTGCCTACATGCTAGTCCAAATCTCTACTCCTCGCCTGGCCAGTGACACACACCCCTACCTGGCACGCCTGCTGTCATCACTTCCCACACCACCTAGTCCAGGTCACAACTACTCAATTCTGCTACTGTGCTGTGAAATCAGCCTTGATGTGGCCGATACGTAAACAGGAGTGTGTTCCAATAAATCTTTATTTAGGGAAACTGACATCTGAGTTTCATAAACTTGTCACAAAATATTTTTACTTTTATCCTCCCATTTAGAAACCTAAGAACCATTGTTATTCTTAGCTTGTGGGCCCTCCAAAAACAGGAAGTAGACCAGATTGGGTTGGCAGGCCGCAGGTGCCAGGCCCCTGTGCTGGAAACACTATCAGATCCTGTTACTCCCTTGCTCAAAACCCATAAGGCCTACCTAGTGGATTCAAATCGCATCTCGAACTACTTTACGAGCCTTAAAGGACCTGGCTCCTGCCTGCCACTTTTCTTCCCAGTTCTTTTTTCTTGGAATATAGTGGACACACAACGTTGGGTGAGTTTGTGGAGCGAATACGCGTTAACTTGATACGTTTATGTATTGCAACATGACTGCCACTTCAGCTACTACAGTAGCAACAAGGGCGCCCCTCTCTTCCCTGCCCCAGGGCCTTCGCACCTGCTGATACCCCACCCCCAAAGTTTCTTTGACATCCTTCAGGTCTCCGCTCAAAAGGCCCCTCCATAGGAAGGAAGACCCCTCTATTCGCAGCCACTCCCGTCATAACTTTCAAATGGCCCTCTCCGTAGAAAGGAGGTCAGGCCCCCTCGCCACCAACCCCGTGCGGCGCCCCTCCCCAGCGCCCATCCCAGCCTGTCCCGCTCGCGTTTGGATTCACGCGTCCGCAGGCCTCCTCGGTCGTGGGCACGCAGCCCCGGGGCGGGACAGGGGCCGTCCCCTTGCCCGCCCGGCCGGCCCGTGCGCCCCGCCCCCTGCGTCCCAGCCCCGCGCGCTCACCTGGTCGGCGCCGAAGGGCGTGATGTTGGCCTTGACGGCGCCCACGCCCAGGCCGACGAGCGCGAGCGCGGCCAGCACGGCGGGCGCGCAGTAGCGGGTGGGCGCGTCGGCGCAGTGAGGCGCCGAGCAGTTGCGGAGGCGCGTGGGGCGCGGGGCCCCGCACAGCGTGGCCCGCGTGGCGGGCGAGGCCAGCAGCGGGAAGGCCAGCATGCCGAGCAGGTAGAGCGCCAGGCTGAGCAGGATGGCGCGCGCCCGGCCGAGCCGCGCGTCGGCCAGCCAGCCCCCGAACGGCGACACCAGGTAGGTGAGGCCCATGAAGAGCAGCAGCGCCTGGCTGGCCTGCGCGCCCTCCCAGTTGAACGGCTCGCCGTTCAGAAACAGCACGAGGTTGGCCGTGACGCCGTAGAAGGCGGCGCGCTCCAGCAGCTCCGTCAGCAGCACGGCGCCGCACGCCGCGCGCCGGCCGGCGAACGCCTCCCGCCGCGCGCCCAGCAGCGGCGCCCGCTCGCTGCCCGCGCCCTCCATGCTCCCGCCGCCGCCAGCTCAGCCGATCTGCCCCGCCGCCGCCGCCCTTCTCGCGATACCGGCCCAGCTGGCCGCCTCGGCCCGCCCCGCGAGCGGCCCCATTGGACGGGCCCGCCGCCACCCACCCCGCCGGGGACTTCCGGTGCCGCCCCGGAAGTCTGGCCCGGCACCTGCTTCCGCTGTCAGTGGGGCAACATGGCGGCGACGTTACCGCTCAGAGGGTTTCAAAAGCGAAATCTGAGCCCGGCTCGCCGAGGTTTCAGATCCTCGCCAACGAAAACCGAGATTTCGTACGGTGCCCTCGGCCTCTGCCTGCCCTCCAGGCTGACTTCCTAAGGCAGACCCTGCCCCAGCCCCCTGCCTTGCCGCCCCGGGACGGGGTGTCCCTGCCTGGGCACTGTTGATAGGGGGACGGACAGTTGTCGTGGTGGCTGTCCTGTGCCTTGTAGGACGGTCAGCGGCATCCCGGCAGCTGCTTTCCACTAGATGCCAGCTCCATTCCCGTCCCCTTGTGACAACCAACAAGGTCCCTAGACATTCCCGAGTGACCCGTGGGCAGCAAAGTCGCCACCCCCTCCCCCCCGAACCTTTTAACTAGAGCAAGCCAGGCTCAGGGCCTGTGTCACTGTCACATGCCTGGCTTCCTGTTTTCCTTCATCCCTCAAGTGTTGACTCCTTGTAACGAGCATTTCTTGACCAGCCCATCGAAAGTAACCCCACCACCATCCCATTGCCCTGTTTTAAAACGTTTTTCCAAGCACCTGCCAGTGTTTTGTTTATCTCTGTGTCTCCTCAGCTTGTACCAGGTCCCCACAAGCGTAAGGTTCATGGTGACAGGTTCTTAGGTGTCTTGTTCCTGGCCACGCCCCCGCAACTACTGACAGAGCCTGGCACGTGGTGGGGTGGAAGAGTATCCTCCAAAAACGGCCCACAGCATGGCTTCAGAAACTGGGCTGATTGAATTAGTGGGAGACTCTCTTTTTTCTTTCCTCCATCCTTAACTCCATCTAACACCAGGATGGAGCCATTGCCTGGGAGGCAGACTTGCTGGTGGGGCGTCTGGGTAAGTAGTCCCTCCAAAAAGGCTTGAAGTAGCATGTACTATTAACTTTTCTATTTTCCTAAATGTCTGACTTCTAGACTGGTGCCTAGCTCGGTGCCAGCACAGGCAGTAGATAAATATTTAGTATTTAAGGAAAGAATAATTGATCCAGGTCCAGAACAGGACCTTCCCCACTCCATCCATTAATGCTGAGCCTCTCTGGCTGTCAGCTTAAATGTCACTTTCCTGATCCAAATTAGATCAGATCCTCTTTTTATAGGTCATTAGAGCACCCTGTGCTTTTTGTTCAGAGCACCCATTATAATTTATAATTATTTATTTTGTGAAATGTGTCTTCAAAGCTGGGAGGGTGAAAATCTTGTTTGTTTTGTGCACTACTGTGTTCCTAGAATCTGGCACAGCACCTGCCAGTGATAAGTCTGTGTGGAATTAACTGAATGAATGAATGAATATTTGTTGAATTGTAAAGACAGAAGAATACTTTATGTTCACTTTTTTTTTGAGACTTATATGATGTTCCACAGCATATGTTTGTATTTTAATTTCACTAAAAAGCTAGCTCCTCAAGATTCCTGCCCAGGATCACACATCTGGTAGACAGCAGGACTCAGACTTAAATAAAAGGCTTCTAACTAGTTCCCACTGCAGTGCTGCTTCCACACTCTAGCTGGTAGATGAGACAGAACCTGGGAGTATTTGCTCCAAAACTGAGAGGACTGACACACTCAGGCAAAGTGCAGAATAACATTAGCATTGAACATGGAGTGAAAGGAAAGCGTTTGACTTGAATCGTGTGATGACTTAGTCCTGAAGCCCTGTCCAGTCCAGAAGGGGCGTTTCCCGTGGCAGCAAACGAACTCGGTTGGATTGTCTCCGTTAAGAAGCATAAAGCTAAGTGAAGGAAAGGGAGGGGAGGCAGTTACAGTGTTTAGGATGTCCCCTGAGACACTTTGAGCACTTGTTCCTGGTCCTTAGGAGATCTGCTGTGCACTGCAATCTCTGGTACCCTGAGGTTGCAAAACAGTTCAGCAGGCAGAAATGTTTGGGTTTGGTTGCAGTGTTTTGGAAAAAAATGAGCCAAAACCATATACTGTACGATTCCATCTCTTATTAAATGTCCAAAATAGGCAAATCTCTAGAGACAGAGTACAGACTGGTGGTGTGGTTGCCAGGTGCTAGGGGGATGGGAAAATGGGGGAGAGACTGCTGAAGGGCCTGGAGTTTCTTTTTCTAGTGATGGAAATGTTCTAAGATTGTGGTGATAGTTGCACAACTGTGTGAACATAGTGCAAACCATTGAATCATACATTTTAAATGGGTAAACCGTATGGTATCTGAATTATGTCTCAATAAAGCTCTTGCCAAACAAGCAAAAAAAAAAGTGAGCTAACAGTTAAAAATTGGGAGGTTTCACATATAAATTTGGATTCCCTGCTGCTCTTGAAAAAATAAACAAGAGCTCTGGCAACAATGGGACTTGTGCCTGTCTGTTACACCAGTGACCACCTCCCACCCCGGTTTGAACCACACCTCTGGCATTTATGCCTTTGTGTATTCTTCATAGCTCACAGTGCCACAGGGCTGGGTCTGTGACCTGCTTTGGTGAAGAGAAGGTGGTAGCAGTGTCCCTGGGCCAGGTCTGGGCCTAAACCTTAAGAAGTTCAGGAAGCTTCCACGTTTGTGCCTGGGAGCCCTGAACCACCATGTAGGAAGTCCAGCTACCTTGCTGGAGAGGTCACATGTGGAGGGAGAGTTTGCAACTACATGGAGAGGGGAGTCCCGTTGCCCCAGCATCCCAGCCACCCTGCCCGCTGAATGAAGCCATACAAATAACCATCAGCAAGACCAGCAGAAAAACTGCCCAGCTAGCCTCAACCCAGACTGCAGAATTGTGAACAGCTAAAATAGTTATTTTAAACCACTAAGTTCTGGGGAGGTTTGTTAACGCAGCCTCAGGGAATGAAAACACAGCTGCCTCCCCCCACGGCCGCGATCTGCTGACCAGGGAGCAGCCATCATCTTTAGATGTGGCACGTGCTTTCTAGCTTATACACATCCTCCCTACTCTCTGTTGTCTTATTAGAATAGAGAAATTATTCTCTGTATCTGCTCTGTCCACTGTGGCAGCCACTAGCCACGTGTGGCTACTTGAACTTAAGTTAGTTCAAATTTAGTAAAGTGGGAAATTCTGTTCCTCAGCCACATCACCTTCATTTCAAGTGCTCAATAGCTACATGTGACTAGTGGCTACCACACTGGACAGCACGGTGTAAGTCAGGCCAACATTGCAGAAAGTTCTGTTGAACAACCCTGCTCTATACTAATGTGTAATGGGCACTATTGATTACTTATTCAGCAGCCGCACCCTCTTTCTCCTTCCAAACAGAATCCTGATTCTATTCAGGTATTTATTCAGGTGCTTATTTGTCGTCCTCACCCCACTTCTGTCCCCCAGCAGCTACCTCTGTGGCTCAGGAGAAAGTACCTTCATCTTCATTTCTGGATCTAACTAGTCAAACCAGTGCTAGCTTCTCATGCCTCTTCACAGCGACCAGTTCAGGAACACAGACTCTTAACTATCAGAATGTGACATTCCCCTGGGGCCCAGGAGAGAAGGAGGGACATAATTGGCACAGCCAACCTAAAGGAAAGGACTCTGATTTCACGACCGCAAGAGAGAGACATTCTTCCAAACAGGGCACAAATCAGGAAGCCTGGAGCCCTCGTTGCTGGTGGCTATTTCACAACCATGCGATGAAGCAGTTTAGGACGAAGCCAACTTTGTTGATGGCATAGTAGAGAACCAGAGAGTAGTTAGATAATAAAAGATAATAAATCTTACGTTGTTTAAGCCACTGTCTTGGGTTTTCTGTTACTCGGAGCCAAAAGTCAGCTATCGTGATTCTACCAAAAACTGGGAAAATGAAACAAGAGGGGCAACCTGGTTTTCTCCTCATGCCTGGCCTAATTTGTCTTAGAGTTTTTTGCCTGGCCCCTGTAATCAGTGAGTTTGCAGCCCCTGTACTGTACCCCAGTGATTGTATAGCTAAGGAACTGATGTAAGTTGACTCTCACCACTTTACTTGGCATACTTGTAATACACCCCTGTTCCTGAAAATAATTGTATGAGTCTGTCCTTTGCACCTAAAATAATCAAATAAATAATGACCCGACTCACACAGCAGGCATCCAGGCATAGGGAAGATTGTCTTACAAAGTACAGTTTTGTGGGTAGCCTCTTCACCTCGAGGGCCCTCCGGGAGAGAGGACATTACTGCAAGGACACTTGTAGTGTGGACTAGAATTGGAAATGTGCTGTGTGCTCTGAAACGCAGGGCCTTTCCTTCCGCATCACCACCCTGTCCCCTGTGCCTCGCTTAGTGAGGAGAGCTCAGAGAAGACGCTATCTCAGGGAATGAATCCAGAAACTATTAGACTGAGGCCATTTCAGGGGCCGTATAATTTCCCCGACTTTTTTCATGACATTTCTGCTTCTCGTTTCACGTCTGCCTTGCTCACCCCTTGCTGCCAGACAATTGCAGCTGCTTGCTTACAGTTTCAGCTTCCTCAAAATGTTGGTTTCCAAGTAGCCATCGTGGACTTTCTGTGCCATCTGTACATCACTCACACCGTCACTCAAATAACTGTTGAGCAACTACTCTATATGTCACAACAGCTCAGTGTCAGCTCTCACATCCAATGCTTCTGCTTTTCTGGTTTCCCAGTTCCCTGCAGAGCACCTCTGATAGGCCCAGCTCACCTTTGTGCATCAGGCCATGGCGTAAGTCATTGGCTATTTTAGAGTCACAGGCTGTGTCATCCATCTGTTGACTCTCCTTGGGTACAGAGAGTTGTCATAAATTCTGTTTATCTCAGGGAGTCCCTGTTGCAACATTTCTACCTGGCTGCAAGTAATCTTGGTAGAAGCAGAAAATATAAGAAATGAAAACACAGTCAACTAGTGGAATGGAATCAGGTTTTATATTCTTGAACCCAAAGTGAAGAAGGCACCCTAACCTGCCTTAGTGTGAACTAACCCAGCTCTCAGAATGACTCGTGCTTTATTTTTACAAAGGATGTGAGACTATCTGGCCAGGAAGAAGGGTTTTCATTTGACTTTTTTCAAGCACTCGTTTTATTTGACCCTTGTGAATAGCAACCTCTGCTTCTTGGGTTCTTTTCCTCCTGTGTTTTAAAAACCCACAAGACATCTGCAAAAGTGGAGCATTCACCAATACAAGGGGAGGCGGACGAGGGAGGGAGGGAGTGAAAGAAAGTGAACTTCTGCTTCCTCCTATTTGAAGAAGCACAGGATGTTCACAAATGTGGGACCACACCTAACTGCTCTGTTTTAACCACCACTTTTATACTGTCTTATAAATATCGTGATACTGCAATCATAAAATAGATAATCGGCAGTTACCAGTGTATTTGTGTTTTAGATTAGGCCTTACAGGAAGGATCAGTGGAGATGAATACAAAGGACAAGAATTGAGGCACATACATGAAATAATTCAGCATTTGATAATAAAGGCATTTCCAATCCATGGGGAAAAGAATGGACTATTGAACAAATTCTGTTGGAATAAGCGACTGAACATGTGGGAAAATAGGCTTCACATTTCATGCCAACATAAATTCCAGGTGGGTAAAATATTATCATGGAGAAATCAAAAATACAAAAGCATTAAGAGAAAATACTGGCAAATGTGAACTCTTAGGGAGAGGACTGCTTTTCTAAGGCTAATGCTAAAGCCATGAGGGAAAACATTAATTGATTTGACTGCATACAACCTTCAGACTTATTTGTATAAATAATTGCAGTTGAGAGCAAACAAAAAAACTTTGAAATACATATGACAAAGTTAATGTCCGTATTTTCTAAAGAGTTCTAAGGAATCTCATGAAATTTATTGGGTACACATCCAATCCATAAAACTGACAAAGTGAATGTACTGGCCATGTAGAGGGCAGCTGCCCTTTGGTCCTCCTCAGCATCTATCCCTCCTCTGGTGACAGCGCCTTGATTATCTTGGTTGATCAGTGCTCCCTGTGGTTCAGGTAGAACTGGCTGGTCCCCTAATCCAGGAGTGGTCATGTGACCTAAGCCTGTCCAATCAGCAGTAGTCCATCTATTGAGCTGGAGTGATTGGCTCAAAGGTGGACATGTGACCTAAGTTGGTCCAATCAGAGCTGATCCCATGACTTATTCTGGGGTGACCAGGAAAAACCTGATTCCTCTTTCAGCTGGATTTGTAATTATAAATATATGAGCCTGGAGTTGTCAGGGCCATCTTGTGGAACCCAAGAATTAAGCAATCCAGAAGACAGTAGAGAGAGAATTTGCTTCAAGAAGACGTTTTCTAGGTGTTGGTTTTGACCATGCCTTAAAGTAGCTTTTTTCCTCGAAATTTCAACTGTCAGCTTATAAGTTCTCTTTTTGATTAAGCAAATGTGACTTTCTGTCACTTGTAATTGAAAAAGTCCCAACTAGTACAAGCAATACATACACTTCTATGCCCATACACAGAGAAAAGAAAAAATACAAATGGCCTTCATGGAAAAAAAAAGTCAAATTACACCAATAATTTTAAAATGCAAAAAGGACAGACATGTTTGTCACTTGAGCAAAAAATGCCCAGTCTTGGCAATGTTGTGGGAAATGAGCTCGCTCACAAATAACCAATGGAAAGGTGAATTGGTGCAACCTTTCTGGAGGGCAATTAGTCATTTGTATCAAAACCACATTCGCCTACACTTTGTGCAATTACATTTCTAGGAATTTAAGAATGTGTGCAGAGACTTAGTATAAAATGTTCATTGTAATGTTGCTTAAAATAGCAAAAAGATTAGAAGCATCAAAGATGTACGATAAGAGATCATTGATTAAATAAATTACAGCATGCTCATACACTGGAAGTACCATGTGGTTATTCAAATGATATTGTAGAAGTAAGATTCTCAGGAGGAAAAGTACTCGTGATATATTATTGTATTAGTTTTCTATTGTTTAACAAATCACAACTTTGGCGGCTTCAAACAGCAGGCATGTATTAGCTCACAGTTGCATGGGTCCGAAGTCTCGGCTTGGCTGGCTGGGTTCTTGGCTCAGCGTCCCCCAAAGCTGAAAGCAAGGTGTGGGCTGGGCTGAGGTCGCGTCTGGAGCTCTTTCCAGCTCCTGTGCTTGTGACAGAGTCTAGTTCTTTGAGGTGGGGACTGAGGTGCCCATTTCCTTGCTGGCTGTCAGCGGGGGCTGCTCTCAGCTTCCAGAACCTGCCAGCATTTTATGCCACGTCCCCCCTTCATCCTCAAAGTTAGGAACAGAGAGTCTCCCTGACATCAAATCCCTCTCCTGCTTTGACTCTCTCCGACAGCAGCAAATGCCCAGTCCCTTTATTTAGTTATTTATTTGAGGAAGATCAGCCCTGAGCTAACATCTACTCACAATCCTCCTCTTTTTGCTGAGGAAGACTGGCCCTGAGCTAACATCCGTGCCCATCTTCCTCTGCTTTATATGTGGGATGCCTACCACAGCATGGTGTGCCAAGCGGTGCCGTGTCCACACGCGGGATCCTAACCCGTGAACCCTGGGCCGCTGAAGCGGAACGTGCACACTTAACTGCTGTGCCACCGGGCCAGCCCCCATGCCCAGTCCCTTCAAAGGGACAATGATGAGTGAGACTGACCCTGCATGATCCCCCTGTCTTGCAGGCAGCTAATTTGGGAATTTAATCACATCTGCCAAGACTCTTTGCAGCATCGCCTGCCTGGGAGTTTGACTGAATCACTGGGAGAAGGCATGAAACAGGAGGCAGGAAATCTCGGGGGCCGTGTTAGAATTTTGCTTACCACAATTATTAAGTAAAAACGAACAAATTACAAAAATATGTATGTATAGAATGGTCCTATTTTATGTAACAAAATGACAAACATAAACCAAAACTGAATACAAATCAACAACAACAAATATCCTGTGTCCATACAGCAGAGCCAAAGAAACACAGTAACGAGTCCACGCTGCCTCTGTCACTTTGGGGCGATGTCATCCCTTCTTGTGTCTCAGTTTCTTCCCCTGTGAAGTGCGATAACAACAGACCCTGCCACCTGCTCGGGGGGAAGCTTGATGGAGGAAGGCTGTGGCGTGCCTGGAACACTGCCATGCACGTGGTGAGTTCCCAGTAACATGACTATTGTGATTACCTTTATTTAGAAATTCTGGAAAAGCTTGAAAACAAAGTATTCATACTGGTTATCTCAGGGTAGTGGGATTCTGTGTGATTTATAAATTCTCTTTATCTGTATGTGCTAAACACATACTGCTTATGTAATCAAAATAAATTAAAAGTTTAAAAAAACAAATGTGGGCCTCTGCAGACAACAAGATGTTACTGGGAGCAGTTATGACATCTTCCCTTTAGTAAACCTCTGCTGTGCCCAGAGTTGGACCTGCGTCCCTTGCATTATTAGAAATATGGAGCCTGATGGCTGCACCAAATGCGGTGGGGCTCACAGGGTCAGTCGGCAGCCATGGGGATCTTTGGGATGAGCATCCTTGTGCTGAAAAGTTAAGAACTGGGTGTGCCAAGCCATCAGCACAGGAATTAAAGGCCTGCTTTCTCGCCAGAGGCTCGAAGGTAAAACCACTTAGTTCTGGTTGACTTCCTCATGTTCCTTAAGCAAGACTGGAAGGAACTAGTTACTTTCAGGCCAACAGCTTTTTTTCTATTTGGTCACTTTCAAGTGCTGTCAGTGAAAGCCAGGAAAGGAAACCTAAGCAGGCACGAAAGCCACAGGTCCCTGTGTACCTTCTTCTCTGTGAGGCTTTCTCTTCTCTTAGACACACACACACAGAGCATTCGTAGTTCCTAGGACTGGGGAGAGGAATGAGGGTGCAACAACGGAAAACTCTGCTTCAAACAAAGAAGGAGAGCATCTCACTGATTAACGCCAGGAAAGCAGAAAAAGAAAAAAAGGTGTCAAGTGTTGATTTTCATCACAGAGCCATTTCCAAAGTCCATGTGCCCTCAAGCGCTCTCCCTGGAGAATGCTGTCACTTTTATTACAGGGTAGAGAATATAGTTTCACTTTCCGTGGTGCTCAGAACTAGAGAAATAGCCTGAGCAAATACTATGATCAAGGAAAAAACAGATCTTGCTTTACATATATTTTAAGACCCTTATGCTAGAAGCATCTGGAGAGATCTCATAAGAGCTGCCGACAACGTTTTCTGCTCTACCGCCCCCCGCCCCATAGTTATTTCTACATCATTCCACGATAACACGTTTGTCTTCGTGCTCCCCTATATTTCCTACCTGGGAGAATCATAAAAGACTCCATCAAAATGAGCTAATTAACTCTGATCCTGTTTATACTTTTTCTCGTTTTACAAATGGGTAACCTGAAGCAACAAATGGATAAAGTATCAGGCCCCAAAAGATATGTCAGAATCTCTCACCTTATGGAACAGGCGTATTCCAGAAAAATCAAATAACAGTGAATTTCAGCTTAGCAAATCCTATTGTAGCACTGACTACCATTAGAAAATCAGGAATGCAGTGTCATAGGCATAAAATCTCAACACAGTGCAAATTCAGTGATTTTATTTAATTCCACAAACTTTTACCGAGCGCCTTCCCTCCTCACAATGTTGTCCCAGGCAAGCGGAGGTTAGAGCCTGGAGTGAGCTCACGCCCCAGCGAGGGCCGACTGCTCGGTGATTATAAAGCAGAACGGGGTCAGTCCAGGAGAAGGGACAAAGAGCCATACGGGTAGAGGAGGTGGGGAGCAGTCCCAGATGAGGTGATCAGGGGCCTACATGCATGCAGCTATCTTTGAAATGGGCCTCTGCAGTGGGTTGAGTGGTGGCCTCCAAAAAGATATGTCCACATCCAAATCCCTGGGACCTGTCATCTCTTAGTAACCCCCATTTAATTCAGGGTGGCAACGTGCCCAGCTAACACACTGCACTTCCCAGCTCCCTTGGATGGAAGATGTGGTCATGTGCACAATAAGATAAAGGCATAGGACTGTGTGAAGTTACAGGAGCCCTTAAAATGAAATGCACCATTTTGGCTGCACCATTGTTGCCCTTCCTTCCTGGTGCCTGGAATGTGAAGGTGATGAATGAGGCTCCAGCAGCTGTTGTGTGCCTTGAGGCCACTTTGAGAATAGAGGCCAAACATTGGGAAGCTGGAATAGAAAGAGAGAAGTCTGGGTCCCTGGTGACTGTGGAGTCCAGAAATAAACTTCAACCTCTTCCAAAAACAGGAATACAGATTGAGAGCATAAAGGAGTTAAAGTGAGCCTTCAGCCACTGTGGAACTGGAAAGCTCAGGTCCCATCTGTCAAGTTAATTAACAAGGAGGCCATTAGACGGATGTGGCTCTAACCCTGACAGCCTAAGTAAGCAAAGTAAAATCTAAGCCTGGAAATGACTCAAGCTGATGAGACTGGAACCTAAGGACCACCTGTCACACACAGCCAACCGGGCTTGAAGCCATAGCCAATCAGCAATCTCCTTGCCTTACTTCTGCCTTTTCTCTATAAAAATCCCCAGCTCTGGGGGCCGCCCCGGCCCAGTGGTCAAGTTTGCACCCTCTGCTTCAGTGGTCCAACATTTCACCAGTTCAAATCCTGGGCGCAGACATGGCACTGCTCATCAGGCCATGCTGAGGCAGCATCCCCCATGCCACAGCTAGAAGGACCCACAACTAAAAAAAATACACAACTATGTATTGGGGGGCTTTGGGGAGGAAAGGGAAAAATAAAATATTTAAAAAAAAATTCCACAAGGCACCTTACCTGCATTTAAAAAAAAAAAACTCGGCTCCTGTGGGTGGAACACTCCTAACTACTTCCGGTTTGGTGCTGCCAATCGGAGTAGAGTTTTGCTCAAATAAACTTGACATTTTTTATTTATTTATTTGAAGATGATTAGCCCTGAGCTAACATCTGCTGCCAATCCTCCTCTTTTTGCTGAGGAAGACTGGCCCTAAGCTAACATCCGTGCCCATCTTCCTCTCTTTTATACGTGGGACGCCTGCCACAGCATGGCTTACCAAGCGGTGCCATGTCCGCACGGGGGATCCAAACCGGGGAACCCCAGGCCACAGAAGTGGAACGTGCGCACTTAACTGCTGTGCCACCCGGCTGGCCCCATAAACTTGAAATGTTTAATATGCCTCAGTTTATCTTTTAACACACCTAAAGGGAGGCGGCTATGGGTGTGATGGTTTGCTATTGCCGGAGCTTTCATTTTTCAAGATATACTAGAAGTCCCTGGTGCTGGTACCCACGGGAGCGATGCTGGCCACCCTCGAGCCCATGGGAGTCCACCCTTGGCCTCCTCTGGTCCCTGTGGGCTGGAATCGGCAGCCAACCCTAGTGCTGGCCCCTGTGGAAAGGGACCTGAAGGAGCAATCTGCAACCACCCCTGGTCCCTGTGTGTGTGGCGAAGGGAACCCCTAGTCAACCCTAGTCCCCGTGGGAGGGGACCTACGGTCACCCGTGGTCTCCATGGGCAAGGACCTGAAATCACCTCTGGTGCTAGTCCCCATGGGCGCAGACCCACAGCCACGGCTGGTCCCCGCAGGAGCGGACCCGTGGCCACGCTTGGACCCCATGGGGAACCATCTCTTCTGGTTCCCATGGGAGGGGACCCGAGGAACCACTGGTGCTGGTCCCGTGGGAGCAGACCCCCGACTCCTCTGGTCCTGGTCGCGTGCGAGCAGTCTCCCGCCCCCGACCCCCCACGCGCCCCGCACCTCCGCCACCGGAACCAGCAAGGGCGGGCGCGGCCTCGCAGCCGCGGGAGGGACTGACCGAGCGCCGCCCGCCGCCCCGGGGCTCGGTCTGCATCCCGGCCTCCGCCCCCGGGCCTGGTCGGCGGCGGCGGGGCGGTCGATGGCAGGGCGGCGGTGGCATGCGGCTCCTGTTCCTCGCCGTGCTCCGGCCGCACACGGGCAACGCCGTCACGGCCGAGCGCGTCCGGTAGGTGGGCAGGTGCGGACGGCGGCCCGAGCATCCGCGGCGCGGCCGGGGGCGGGGACGGGGGCGCGGGGCTGCTCAGCCGGGCCTCGCCGCCGCGCCGGTCCCCCGGAACCGCGCGCCTAAACGGACGGGCCAGCGGGGCGCGGGGCCTGCAGGAGCGCCGAGGGCGCGGGGCGGAGGGGCCGCGGGAGCGCCGAGGGGCGCGGGGCGAGAGGGCTGCGAGAGCGCGGAGGCGGTGCGAGCACCGGGGCTGCGGGAGCGCGCGGAGGTGGCCAGGGGAGCGCGGGGCTCAGCGCCAGCCCGGCCCCCCGCCCCGCCCGCGTGGGACGGTCCTCACGCGCCCCAAAAGGCCGCTCGGGTTGTCTGCGGGGATCCTGCTTACGATCCGGAACTAGGGCCAGACAGCCTGGTTGGCGCCGCAGAGGCTGCTCGGTGCTCTCCACGCAGATCGTGGCGTGACTGCCTTCATTGATGCTATTTATTGGGAGCGCGCTGGGTTTGGGCACACAGCGACGAAAAACAAAGGCGGGTCTTCATGACCCTTACATTTCCGTGGGGACAGGAGAGAGAAAAAAAAAATACGGATATATACGGCGACATGTATATTTATATACGACAGGGAGAGGGGGTGCTTGTGCGCCTGCGCTGTTTGAGGCGGGATGCTCCGCTGGGGGCCTCCCTGCCATCCCTTCCCTAAGTGTGGAGGAGGGACCTTGAAGCTCTCCTGGGGAGAGGGAGCGTCCAGGACTTCCAGGCAGAGGGTGCAGTGAAGGCGCCACCCCTCCTTGTCTGCCTGTGCTGGAGTCCCTGGACCCTGCGTCCAAAGGCGCCTTCCGTCCCGCTCCAACCGCTCCCTGTGCCCTCTTCCACCTTCCTCTCTGGTTATCTTCTTCTTCATTTTTTTAAGTTCATTTTTTTTTATTGCGGCAACATTGGTTTATAACATTGTATAAATTTCAGGCGCACATCATTGTATTTCTGTTTCTGTGTAGACTACATTGTGTTCACCACCCAAAGGCTAGTTACCATCCATTGCCATACACATGTGCCCTTTTACCCATTTGCCCCCCCCCTTCTCCCCTGGTGATCACCAATCTAATCTGTCTCTATGTGTTCCTTTCTTGTTTTTTATCTTCCACATATGAGCGAAATCATACGGTATTTGACTTTGTCCCTCT